CTACTACTGGACATTTTGACTATTTCTAGGACTTTATTCTTCTAAAGAATGCTGCAGTAAACATAAAATGGGTAGAGTTTAATTTTAAAAGGAGACAAGGAGGCTTAAAAGGGGAGTGCATTAGAATAAATTATGCCTATAAGAAAACCTGGTAAGGTTCAAATATCATCTGCTCATGTATCAGATGCTAGTCTTCATTGTTCTGTGAAGGCATTGAACTGGTTGCAATTTTTAGATCAGCAAAACACATTGGGTGTTTTGTGCAATCAACTAATAACTGTTTACGTTAATAATATTATCATTTCAGGGGCACCTGGGTAGCTCAGTCAGCTGAGCAGCTGATTCTTGGTTTCAGTTCAGGTCATGGTCTCAAGGTCCTGGGATCAAGCTCCACAGGGGGCTTCCCGCTCAGCAGGGAGTCTGCTTGTGGATCCTCTCCCTCCTTCTGCCCCTCCCTCCCACTCGTGCTCCTGCATGAGCCACTCTTTCTCTTTCAAATAAATAAATAAATCTTTTTAAAAATGCTTTAAAAAAAAGAATATTATCATTTTGAAAATGCCATCTCTAACAATAGTGAAGAAGAACTGGGGAAGGTTTGCATACTTCTTCCCACAGTGAAAAAGCATAACATTATCCAAAGTTTTCCGCTCTCTCACCCACCTTAAACACCATACCACTTGGGATGAAATACAATAAACAAAATCATGTTATACAATTATACAGGAGACCTAGGTTAGGGTTTATTGCAACACAAGCCAATCCAATTCAACAAATACAAACACAAAACACTGAGCTGTGTCCTTAGTGCATACAAAAGTGAGCAAGATGAAATACCTTCCTTAAAGACATTTATAATCTAACACTGGTGGTGGGAGGAAAAAAGCAGCTCTTTTAGGGGAGAGAATATGCTACTATAACATGGAAGCATTTTTTTTAATGAATCCTTTTGTAGGACACATTGCACATGCCAACGAAAAGAGACTGGCAGTAGAGGCAGATACACGGAATCAAGAAGAGATGGGAGCAGGACTTTACAATATATCCAGATATGAAGAGGAATATGTCTCAAAAATGACAAAAGCAATAGCAATGAAAACCCCATGGGATAAGGAAAGCTAGTTCAAAGCCAGATGATCATGCCAAATAATGAACCACAAGGGAGTCAGAGGAGGAAAATCTTGTTGAGAGTATCATAAATACCTTCAGGTGGAAGACGGCATCTGAAACAGGCATGGCATGATGGTGGGATGTCCACAGTCCAAAAAGAACTACATCAAAAACTAATGATGTAATGTATGGTGATTAACATAACATAATAAAATTTAAAAAAAAAAAAGAAGAAGAAGAAATGGGTATGGGAGCATCTACAGTCCCTGGAACTCTCTATAGAGCCTGTTCTATAAGTATCATCTACTGTAAAACTAACATTTTCCTAACCTAAGCCTGCTGAGACATAAGAGAACAGAGAAGCTCAATACAGACCTTAACCTCCCAGAACTTAGAACACACACCTTAGCGGCAGTGCTGGCCTGGGAGCTAATATTCGTCCAACGGAAGAAAAAGGCACAAAGACATCAATGCTACCAAAGGCAGTTTCTCAATAAAGGGCCACAGTTTTCCATCACTCTTGCTTACCAATTTCAGACCTGGGAGTGAAGATTGAATGTGAAAATAACTTTAGAGAGAAAAACGAAGATTGTGGGGACCAGATAAGTGAAGGAAGATATCTGAACCAACTATTTCTCAAACATGCCTAAACATCAGAATCATCTGAGCCTTTGGTTAAAAGTACTGATACCTGCCCCCACCTCCCACCCTGGGTGATTCTGATTGAACAGGTGATTCCCAGAGGTAAGGTCTGGGAATCCAAGTGGTGCAAAACGTCTCCAAGTGATTCCTACATGTAGTCAGGTTTAGACTCACTGGTAGAATATGAAATCCCTGGCTTCCATGAAGATGTAGAATATATATATATATTTTTTTTTTCAACATAGATATATAGAAAAAAAGACAAATAAATCACTGTATTTCCCTGGGCAAGTCCCTAAACATAACTCTACCTCAGTTTTATGCTCTGGAAAACAAAGGATTTGGAGTAGAAAATAATTTAGTTCCCTTATAGTTCCAAAATAACATGATTTTGGAGCTTAGTTAAGTGAGAGCTTTGAAGAAAAATTAACTCAAGGAAAAAACTTCCCATCTGGCCTTACTGAAATATTGTGAAAAAGTTTTCCGATCTAAATTGGTTCCTTTATAGAATTTCCTTTTCTTTTAAATGATCTTTTTTCATAATACTCTCTTTAAACTCACAGACATGGCATATTTTAGAAAGAATTGTTATAAATACTGTGAATGCCAGATTCTGTTTTACAGTGGCCAAACAAAATAACGATGGTACAATGTACCAACATTACAAAGTACATGTGATTTACACAGGATGTAAGAACTTCACTTTGACGTTCTTTAAATGTTCGTGAATTACGTCCTACTTGGTTGGGGGCTGTTTACTCTCTTCAAGACCGTTTCAGCAGCTCAAGAAGTACTGATAGCATCCGTGGTTCTCTGATAGAGGATGCTCCTTTCATCACTCAGCACCTAGAATAGTTCATGGCTGGGGCGCCTGGGTGGCTCAGTCGGTTAAGCGACTGCCTTCGGCTCAGGTCATGATCCTGGAGTCCTGGGATCGAGTCCCATATCGGGCTCCTTGCTCAGCAGGGGGTCTGCTTCTCCCTCTGACCTTCCCCCTCTCATGCTCTCTGTCTCCCATTCTCTCTCTCAGATAAATAAATAAAACCTTAAAAAAAAAAAAGATTTTAAAAAAAGAATAGCTCATGGCTCACCATAGATAGTCAAAAAATACTTATTGAATGAATTAACAGATTTACAGATATGCAAAAATCTTTTTCTTTGCACAAGTTCCCCCCAAGGGCTCTTCAACTATATTTTTCCACTGATAATTTAGTCTCCTTAATATTCTAATACAATTTTTACTCTACAGTTTTTAGATGTGAGTAAACAGATTCTGGTACCGATGGGGGGAGGGGTGGGGAAAGGGGGACAACAGTCTCCACACCAAGCGATTCTTGGGACACCAGCTGGTTGCATCACCAGCGAGACCCCAAGACCTGACCTTTACTGCCCACCTGCTTGTACTCACCGACCTTTCTCCCACATTTTTCCTTAAGCTCTTCTTTCCGGCTTAGCTCTTAACTCCAGCAAATGGAAAGCGAAGCCGCCCCTCCAAGCGAAAGCGGCTGCGCTGACCAGACCTCCAGGGGACCCAGCCCAGGGACCAGTTTGAGCTTAACCCCTGACTCGCGCCTGCGCGGATGGACCACGGAGCGACCTCTGGAATGACCGACAACTACCTTTACCTCGTTATACTACTGCAGTCTCCGCCCTCGGAGGAGCACAAGCCTCATTTACATAACATACAGTGTGGGTATAGGCATGTTTTTCGTGACCTTATGCCCACCTCTGCATTCGATGATAAGGCTTCCCTATCTAAATATTCATCCTAACCCTAAATAAAAGGAATCCGTTCACCCTCGCTCTGGGGACTCACGGCTTTGGAAGCCATTCTCCTTCATGTCTTCATTTGCTGCAAATAAAGTTTTGTTTGTGCGACTGATACTCAACCTGGTGCAGTTTCTGACTCACCAAGCAACGAACTCACATCGGTTCAGGCACAGCTGTCGTACAATTCAACTGAATTCTGACACAGTCTCTCCGGAGATAGCATATAATTCCACACGTCAAGGGTTCTGTCTGACAAGACCACGCCCCGCCCCCTACGCCAGACACCAGCTGAAAGCACAAGTTGTTACCTGTACTTCTGACCTACCAACTACAAATTGGAGGTTTCCACAATCTTCTTGGGTTTGATTAATTTGCTAGGGCAGCACACAGAGCTCAGAGAAATATTTTACTTACTAGATCCCTGGTTTATTATAAAAGGATACAACTCAGGCATAGCTAGATCAAAGAGATGCGCAGGCAAGCTATGGGGGAAGGCACAGAGTTCCATGCTGTCCCCACGTGCTCCACTCTCCCAGTACCTCCACATGCTCACCAACCCAGAAGCTCTCTGAACCCTGTCCTTTGGTGTTTTTATGGAGTTCTTATGGTTTTACACTACATAGTCATGACTGATTAATTCTTAATTCAACCTCCAGCCCGGTCCCTTCCCTAGAGGTAGGGAGGTTGAGGGGCTTGAGTATTGAATGTTTCAACCCTCCAGTTACCTGGATGGTTCCCCTGGCAATAGTCTCCATACTAAGGTTACTTAAGCACTTTCCAAAAGTCACCATTAACATAATAAAAGGCACCTTTATCGTTCTTATCACAGGAAATTCTAAGGGCTTTAAGGACCTGTGCCAGGAACTGTGTCAAAGACCAAATATATATTCCTTATTATAAATAAATCCCAATATCACAGAGTCGAAGCACAGGAGTTTCCCCTTATCTGGGGAGGATCCGTTCCAAGACCCCCCACCGTGGGTGTCTGAAATCGCAGATAGTACCTAACACTGTAGAAACTGGTTTTCTTTTCCTATACACGCATACCTACGATATAGTTTAATTTATTAATGATGCACAGGAAGAGATTAACAATAATAATAATAAAATAGAACAATTATGACAATATACTGTAATAAAAGCTGTGTTAGTGTGGTCTCTCTCTTTCTCTAAGCATCTTATTGTATTGTACTCACCTTTCTTGTGAAGATGTGACATGAGAAAATAGCATAGTATTTCACAGGAAATGAGAGGAAGTGAGGTGAATGATATAGGCATCAGAAGGAGGAGCATCTGCCCGTGGAAGTTTAAACTGTGGGTAATAAACTACTGGAAGCATGAAACCAGAGGAAACAAAACTGCAGGAAGCAAAAACCACAAGGAAGCAAAACCGAGGTCAAGTGGGCGACTACTATAAGTTTAACCACATTCAGCATTTACTTGAACTTCAGAAAAGATTCCTGAGCTGTTCTATTACCTACCTGCAAGTGCTGCTTTTCTGCATCACGTCAGCTCGATGATACCCAGAGAGTTTGCAAAAACCGTCATTACTATAAACTACAGGCCAATCCACAATCTGGGCATTTCCCAGTAAGAAACTTGATTCTAAAGAAGAAAGAAGGAAAAGGAAGTTTTTTTATCTTCATTTAACAATGTACTTCTTTCAAGTAAACAAAAAGACAAATTTATAGACAAATACAATTATGGTTTGTTAGTACAAATAATAAAGCCTATTCTTGAGATTGACATAATCAGTTTAGCATGATTATCTAATGAGATCAGCAGTAAGTACCAGATTTGCATACAAACAAAAACCCCATTTTAAAAAAAAGCCAGTTTATTTAATACCTCTTTGCATTCAAATATAATCTAATCTATGAAAAACAAGTATGGTTAATATTAAGTAAATGTTAATGACTATAATAATTACACCTAAACACAGATTAATTTAAGAATAGGGCCAGAGTCACTTCTCCACTAATTGAGAAAACTAAACTTGATAATATTGAGGCAATTTGTATGACTGCTTCAAAAATTCTATTATTATAATTTTGACATGATGGGACAAATTGTCCATTAGATTGATCTTGAGAAGTCTAATTTAAAATAACACTGAAGAGGGGTGCCTGGGTGGCTCAGTTGGTTAAACTTCCGACTCTTGGTTTTAGCTCAGCTCATGACCTCCTGGGTCATGGGATCAAGCCCCACAGAGGGCTCTATGCTCAGTGGGGAGTGTGCTTGAGATTCTCTCCCTCTGCCCCTCCCCCCACTTGCTCGCTCACTCTCTCTCTCTCAAATAAATAAATAAATCTTTAAAAGAAATTTAAAATAACATTGAAGATTCCTTTTTAAAAATAAAACTATTCAAATATATTATTTTCAACCACATTCTACACAGAATTTGGAAACTATCATTATTGTAAATAAAAGAAATACCTTTGGTCTGTTTTGCACAGAGAAGTGATTTTGCTTCAGGTATAAAATAAAATAAGATAAAAACAGAGAGGGAGGGGTGCCTGGGTGGCTCAGTCATTAAGCGTCTGCCTTCAGCTCAGGTCATGATCCCAGGGTCCTGGGATCCAGCCCTGCATCAGGCTCCCTGCTTGCTGGGAAGCCTGCTTCTCCCTCTCCCCCTCCCCCTGCTTGTGTTCCCTCTCTCTCTGTCAAATAAATAAATAAAATCTTTAAAAAAGAAGAAGAAGAAGAAGAAGAAGAAGAAGGAGGAGGAGGAGGAGGAGGAGGAGGAGGAGGAGGAGGCAAACCATAAGAGAATCTTAAATACAGAGAACAAACTGAGGATTGCTGGAGGGGAGGTAGGTGAGGGGATGGGCAAATGGGTGATGGGCATTAAAGAGGGCACTTGCTGGGATGAGTACTGGGGGTTATATGTAAGTAATAAATCACTAAATTCTACTCCTGAAACCAATACTACACTATATGTTAACCAACTTGAATTTAAATTTTAAAAAAAATTAATACAAAAAATATCTTTTGATATCAACCTTGATTAAAAATCCAATATTTAAAAAGAGTAAATTTGGGCGCCTGGGTGGCTCAGCTGGTTAAGCGACTGCCTTCGGCTCAGGTCATGATCCCGGAGTCCCGGGATCGAGTCCCACATCGGGGTCCCTGCTTGGCAGGGAGTTTGCTTCTCCCTCTAACCCTACCCCCTCTTGCGCCCTCTCTCTGACTCTCTCTCTCTCTAATAAATAAATTAAAAAAATCTTTAAAAAAAAAAAGTAAATTTAAGGGATTACTATACTTCAAAAATTCAAAATATCTACCAAAAAAATCTTCTTTGAACTCATATTCAAAATAGTGTCCTAAAAGGGAAATTAACTTATGAGTTTAAGACTTTAAGTTTAAATCCTGACTCAAAGTTGGTCTTCATAAAAATAGCAATGCAATTCAACATTTACTAAGTAGCTGCTAAGTAAAAGGCACTACTCTGGGTCAAACAATGGGATAGAATAAAGATCAATAAAACATACCCTTTATTCTCAAAAAAACTTCCATGTTAAGAAAAATAAATATGTAACAACCAATTACAATTATCAGAATAGATGCTAAATCTAGAAGTATTGGACAAAATATGGCAAAAATCTGTTTCAAAGTACTAAAAACAACCAAAAATAGAAACTGAAAAAAAGACAAACCCTTGAAATAAAAGAGATACATTAAATAAGATATTCATTTAACTGTCCATTCCCAGAGAGCAAATTTCCAGGTTATACAGTTCATTGGTGATAGAGCTCAAGCAGAAAAAGTTTTAGGGGACTAAATAGTCAAAAGTCACAATTTGGGGCTGCCAGAGCAGCCTGAAGTTGAGGGGAAGATCCTTTAACATACGGAGCCATAAACCTGTATATAAATCTACCTCAAATCCTTCTCTGTGATCTAAACTATGCATGCACAAAATGAGTCTACAAGAAACCTGTCTACTCCAGCAATGACTACAAGGCAAGAGGTAAGCAGAAATTTCACCAGCTCTCAAGGCTAGAAGACAAATTGTTGAGTTCAAGTCCTATCAAGTTAGAGAAGCTTGGTAGATACCTCAAGTTCTCCATTCAAGCCACAGAAGGTCATGCTTTAGGAATAAGAAACAAGTCCCAGGATAATGGGTTATAACCTGGGACTAAGATTAAAAATGTGGAAAATACACTCTCTCTCTCTCTCTCTCTCTCACACACACACACACACACACACACACACACACATTCCCACAAAGCTAAAATCGTGATCAAGGAAACCCACCCATAACTACCTGCTCTCTATAATGTATGAACACAGTGTCTGGTATGCACTTAAAAACTATTAGGCATGCAAAGAAACAGAAAACTTTTATGATAATCCAGGAAAAAATAAGCCATAGAAAGAGAGGTCAATATGGGAACATAGAAATAAATAATACAACCTCTGGAATAAAAAAATTCATTGGATAGGTTTAACAGTACATTGAACACTAAGAAAGAACAATTTAAAAACATATCAATGCAAACGGTTCCAAGCTGAAGCAAAAAGAGAAAGGGATTAAAGATGTTCCATAGGACAATATCAAGCAGTCTAAGACCTATGTAGTTGAGGCTGGAAAAAAATAGACAGAATAGGGCATAAATGTTATATGAATAAAGGATAACTAAAATTTTTCAAATTGCATGAAAAATAACAACCTAGAGATCTTAGTTCAGTAAACCCAAGCAAGATAAATGCAAGCAAAGCCACAGTACAAAGATGGGTAAGGGTAAAGCTGAACATAGAAAATAAGGGGAAAAAGGTCTTTTAAGCATCCAAAGAAAAAAGATTATTTAAGTATGTTTCAGGGGAGATGGGGGAGATAATAATTACAGCATACAAATCATGAAAAACAAAGACGACCAAAAAACAATGAAATGACATCTTTAAAATACTGAGAGGAAAATATTTATCAACCTAGATTTTCATGTAGAGTGAAGGTATCCTTCAAAATTGAAGGCAAAATAAAGACACATTCCGAAACAAAACAGGAAGAATTCATAGCCAGCAGAATCACAGTAAAACAAATGTGGTAGGTGTTTTAGCTGAAAGGAAAAAAAATCAAAATAATAATAATGATGACCCTCACAAAAAAAGTCAAGAAGGTAAAAATAAACAGCTGGTGGGACAAACAGAAAGCAAACCACCGGGGGTGCCTAGGTGGCTCGGTAGGTTGAACGTCCAACTCTTGATTTTGGCTTAGGTCATCATCTCGAGGTCATGATCTCAAGGTCATGCAATAAGAGCCCTGCTTTGGGCTCCACACTCAGTGCAGAGTCTGCTTGAGATTCTCTCTCTCCCTCTCCATTCGCCCCTACCTCCATGCTCTCTCGCACTCTCTCTCTCTCTCTCTGTAAAATAAATAAATAAATCTTAAAAGAAAAAAACGTAAACCATGGGATGGTAGCCCTAAATCCAACCATATCAAGCATTACATGATGGGATAAATAGACTAATTAAAAGACAGAAATTTTCAAACTGGATTTTAAAACAAAGAAACTGATAGTCTACTATTTCTAAGAAAGCCATTTAAAGTATAAAGACATAGACAAGTTGAAAGTGAAAGTGTGGGGAAAATACACTACATAAACACTAAGCATGAGAAAGTAAATGTGGCTACATTAATGCAAAATAAAGTAGTCTTAAAGACAAGGATAATAGAGCTAAAAAGAGGCAATTAATGATAACAAAAAGGTCAATTCATTAGGAAAACATAACTTTCTCAATACCTATTAAAGGCTCAGACAGCTCCAGGCTCAGTGAAATCTTTCAAATATTTAAATAAGACATAATATAAATATTATACAAACTCTCAAAAAATATATGAGGAAACATTTCTGAACTTGTTTTATGAGGTTAGCATTATCATAATACCAAAAGCTGACAATGTCTGTTAAAAAAAGATTACTGACCAATATAGTTGCAAAAATCCAGAAGACCATATTGACAAATAGAAATAGCAATATATATATACTATACATATAACCAAGTAGGGTTTATCTTATCACTGTAAGGCTGATTTATCATTATGTGATCAATCAATGTAATCCATCATATCAACAGAATAAAAGAAAAAACCTATCATTATATCTCAATAGATGTAGAAAAAACCATTTGACACACTTATTCATGATTAAAATCTTTGAGCAAACCTGAAAAGAAGGAAACTTCCTCAAACTGATAGAGGATACCTACTAAAATATCTATAGCTAACATTATTCTTAAAAGTAGAATATTGAGTAACTTCCCCCTAAGATCAGGAAAAAGTCAAGGATGTGTATTCTCAACCCTTATACTCAACATTTTATTAGTGGCCCAACTAATGAAATAAGGCCAAAAAAAGGAAAAAGAAAAAAACAGAAAGGATGTAAATATTGGAAAGGAAGATACAATTGTTTTCTACTTGCAGATGGCACGATTGTTTACAGAGAAAAGCCTAAGGAATATTCAAAGGAACATCTAAAATTAAGTGAATTTAGCAAGGTTGCAGGATATAAAGTTAATATAAAAGTCAGTTTTGTTTCTATATACTAGCATGAAACAATTGAAAAATGAAAAATAATTTCACTTAGAATGATATAAAAAAATATAAA